CAACAATGGTTAAAAAATAATGAGCACCCGATAAAGAAGCAGTATGGTAACCACCCAAATGTCACAAAAAATACGTTCAAAAGGCATCGAACTTTTATTTTCAATTGACCGAAAAGGCAACCGAGTATGTTTTCCACGATTACAAGTGTCACAATGAGTAATAATGTTAGGACGGGAAATAAAAGAAGGGACATTATGTTAAGAAGGATGACCCAAACGTTGATGCCATGTAGCAAAAGGGACGTGACCAGATGAAATGAGAGTAAACGCAGGAGCAGGCTTGAAATAGTACAGTCCGTTACGCTCTTCACCTACTCCAATCAGCTTCTTCGTTGTTAGGTCCTGAAAAGTGCAAAAAGTATGGGAAAAACGAGACAACACAATTGAGAGATTTTGTTAGTTTGCTGACAGATAATAAATTAAAATGAAAATCAGGGACAGATAAAACATTAGAAAGGGTAAGGTTGTGAGATAAGGAAATATCACCGGTACTGGACACAGGGGCATGTGCACCTACAGGGAGGCAAACAAAAGGGGGACAAACACTACGATTGGAATTAGTGGGGGGTGAGTCTGCAAAGGTGGGAGAAGTACGAGGGAAAGTAGCAATTTTAGAATTGGGGAATGGTTGATTTGCAATATGGTGGGTGGTTCCACTATCAATAACCCACAAATTACAATCAGTAAGAGAATGAGAAGAAGCGGGGGAAAGTTTGGGAAAATTTGAGGCCTGCAAAAGAGTGAGCCATCGGCTTGAGAAGCTCCAGGAGTTGGGTGTATTGTTCGGTGGAGAGTCCTGGGATGCTGCTCACGTGGGAAGAGCAGAGGCAGCCGACACTTGTTGGATGGCCGGTGATGAGAAACGGGATGTGCCCCGTTTGGTCTTGTCTGGCCACCAATCGGGTACCCAATAACTTCGAAACATTTGTTGCGGAGGTGTCCTGGTTTACCGCAAGCTTCACAAGGTGGCGTTCTGGCAGGCCAAGTGCGACGGGAGCGCGACGGAGGCTGTAGCGGTGTCGGCGAGCGCGCGATAAAAGCTGAGGGCTCCGGTGGAGGTGTGGGCAATTAAACTAGACGCTGGGTCTCCTCTTGATGGAGTATTGCATAGAAACGACTGATTGAAGGCATGGGATCAGTGGCCAAAATCTGCGAACGAAGCTGTTGGAAGCTTTCGTTAAGGCCCATGAGGAATTGATACACTCGATCAGATTCTTAGAGATCAGAGAGGCATTTAGACGCACCACAAGTACATGGCTCTGTAGATTGTAAAGAGGCCAATTCATCCCAAGAGTTCCTTTAATTTTCCATAATAACCCGTGATTGATTGCTGTTCTTGGCAAAGGTTGACTAAATCTCACTTGAGCCGAAAAATCTTTGTACGGTTGCTTTGCTGGAATCGAGTTTCTAGTTCCAACCATAAAACATGTGGTGTGGTTCAGTAGAGGAGGCTGCCTGGAAGAGAACGATCAATAGAGTGGAGGAGCCATGACATTATCATGTCACAGCAACGGTCCCAAAGGAGTCCGGCTGTAATATCATTGGCAGGGCGTGTGATGGTATCGAGAACAAAGTCTAATTTGTTCTTGGCATTCAGTGCACGGGTGATTGCTCGGCGCCAAGCAGGGTAATTATCTCCATTAAGAGGTGTATCGACAAGGAATTGATTTGGTTGATCTGACGAATGCAAAAAGTAAGGAGAAGAAGCATTTGTGAGGGATTTTTGGGCATCTAAAAAAGGGGCAGGTTCAGCCATGGCAGGAGCAAGGTATTATGTTTGAAAACATAAAAGCTCTGATACCATGATAGATTTTACAGTTTGATATGGAATGAATTTGCTTTCATAAATTTTGTAATGGCGTACACGTGTGTTTATATATACAATGGAAAGCAAAACTATGTATGGTAAGCAACTAATCTAGAAAAGGAAATAATTGCAACATGGTCTGAAAATCCCTTAGAATTATATTCAATATTTACTTTTCATGAAGATGTTGACTTGGACAAGGGAACAGAATCTGTAATGGCCGTTGCAACCATGCAATCGCATGGTTACCTTCACTGTGATTGCATGGTAAAGTCGTGTTACAATCAGGTTGTAAATCCCAAATATCAATCTTCAGGCATGAAGCCCTTATTGTGAGCATGTAATAAAAAATAAAAATACAAAAGAGAGAGAAACAAATCAATTTACTTTGCACGGTGACAATTAAACTGACTCCAGGTATATAAGTGAACCAGAAAGAAAGAAAATACGCTGTCCAACCCAGCAATATAGTAAGCAAATTAATCACCATCTTATTGAATGGAGGATTTTTATTTTTTATTTTCAAACTAATTTATGACTTGTTGGAGTAGAAGTCCCAATACAACTAACATTCACTTTTGGTTTATGCATCAATAAAAAGAGGATGGTCTTGGCCACCGTTGTGTATCATATTTGGATGGCAAAAATAGAAGAATTTTTGAGGATCTAAGACCACATGTGGGCAACATTGTTAGACAAATCAAAACATACGTATACAAAGTAATGTTTTCTTTGTATCCGATTCTTTTTTATTGCCCGGAGTAATTGTACGAGTTATTTAGCCCATGTTTGTTCGGATTAAAATCAGATTTTAATCCAAGTCAAACAATCAATATTAACCACATCTTTTATGGGTCTCACAACTTTTCAACTACACATTTCAAAAATTTCTATCAAAATCTACTAAAAATCTAATTTAAATCCCTACCAAACACCCTCTTAATTTTGATTTGCTCGAATATACTCGGCGTACTTGTATATGATTTTTTATCAATATAATTTACATTTACCGGTTGAAAAAAAAAAAAGTTTCCATACAGTGATCGACATTTCTTGTGAATGTGCAATAACTAAAATAATTGTGACTAGAGAAGCCACAACGTGTCGGGCATGCCAACATATTAAAACATGTTTGACTGTGTGATTGAGTATTGTGGAATTAAATGAGAGGACCACATCTTGCGCTTGCCAGGCCAATGTCCCCTCACATGGAGGGGGGGGGTCCACACACAATAAAATATTTGTGGGCCCCCCTCCATGTGAGGGGGGTGTAAGGTTATGTGTACACCTTGTACACATAGCATTATTATTTCAAAAACCCTATTGAGTCTTTAGACTCATTGTAAAATTGGCTGGTATGATACAAGAAAATAAATGTAAGGGTAACTATAGAGCTTGTGTGGGAGAAATTTTTTCAAGTGAAAAATGATTATTTTTTTTTTTGTAAATGTGTGGTTAAAAAAAAAATTATGAATCTCACAGAATGTGTAGTTGAAAACTATCTTTAAAAATCGTCCTAATCAAATGCATATTCACACCACATTTTTTTTTTTTTTGTTACCACACCACAATTATATTTCAGCGAAAGTCTCAAATCTTTACTTATTTTTTCACACAGTCACCAATTTTTTTCACCTAACTTTTATCCTCTACCTTCAATTAATTAACATATCATATGTCCAATGACGATTTTCTATCCAAGTATTCGTTTAGGATGCTTTGAAATGAATGACATATTTTGTTAAACTTTTTTATTTGTTATTTTGTTAAATCTAAGGGACAAATCTTTTTATGCCCTCCTAATTGGCCGAAATATGTCATAAAAAATAAGATGTTCTAATTAATAGAAAGTTAATGATAAAAATGCAACGAAAATTTTACGGAAATACATACAAAAGTAAGTAAAAATTAAAAACCTTAATCTTTCTACATATAAAAAGTGCCTATTTAACGGAATTTGTTGGTTTAACGGAAAAGCTAACGGAATTTGTTGTTTTAACGGACTATGTAACGGAATTTCTTGTTTTAAACAGGCAGCTGCACCTTCTTTCAATTTTTTTATCATAACTTTGTATTCCGATGTCCGATTGAGGCGATTCACAATGCGTTGGAAAGCTAACT